CCACCAATACAAAACCACACAGCAGTTTCACCCTATTCATGTTTTATCTGAGCAGGTTCAAATATTTTCACTTTATCAGATTACCTTCCACTCCTGGAGCCATCAATTTCCCCTTTCCCAATTTCATTCCCTTTGGAATTATGTGTACTGTGGAGCATGTGGCCCCAGAATACACCATAAACATTGTTTCTTCTTCAAAGGGTCCCACTTTCAAATTTATCAAGGGCTCCTGGACAGCTGGACCCAGAAAACAGGCAAGTCCCTGACTCCTCTAGTCCTCAAAACTCATAATTCCCACATATTCCTCCTCTGATGACATTCTCTCTTCCAATGTCCTTTCTTCCTGCAGATTGCAGCCTGATTTCTTCCCAAACAGGTTCTCCCCTCCCTTTTCTTTTGCCTAGGCTCCCCCAAGCCACCCTCCTAGGGGGGAAAGGGTCACCCTTCCCCAAACAGCCCAGAGGGTCTGTTAATTCAGGGACCCTCTGGTCGCTTGTGTCCTGATGATCCTGATTGTGCCACCTTTCTTTTTTCTTTATCCTCTTTCCTCGCATACACTTTCTGAGCCTCCCTCAAATCTTCCAATGTCCTTGTCTCCCATCCACCTAACTCCTGCAATCTCTGCCTAATATCCTCCCAAGCCTTCCCTGCAAACTGACATTTCAGCAATATCTGATGGCTGGATTTCCTGAATCCAGTTACCCATTTTTCTGCACCTGTTCCTTCAGTCTCTCCCGCCACTCAGATGGAGTATCATCTTTCTTTTATTCCACAGACAAAGTCTTATGTACATTAAGAGACTGAGGTACTGCCTCTTTGATTCCCTGGATCATACACTCTAATAAATCCCAATGCTCCCTTCTGGAAGCCAGCACAGAGCATCTCCTGCTCTGTTGGGATTTCTCCTATTCCAAACATCTCTAGCTGCCTGATGGATCAATCGCAATTCTTCATCAGAATACAAAAAAAAAAAAAAAAAAGAAGTTCCTGCCTAAAAGGCCTCAGCTCTGCTGCAGTCAGAAGGGACTCCACAAACCCAAATCCTCCCATTGCCAAAGTGCCTGCCCAAAAGGGCCATAATAGGATTTTGCTGCCCTTGTGCTTTAGGACCAATTACAAGAATTCCCCCTGTAAGCCATGGCGAAGTTTTTCCCATAAGGTGGGATTTCCATCCATCAAGCTCTGAACCTCCTTAGGGAATTCAGGGAATGAAGGAGTGGTTCCTGAGGCGCCTTCATCCTTCCTACAGTATGGTGGCAAATTATCTAAGGGATCCCATGATTTTCAGGCCTCCAGATGGGCTGAAACTGAGGCAGGCAGCCAGCTGCCCACATACGTAGATTCCTCAGTCCCAGATCTGATTTGATTATTGTCAGGTTTCAGTCCTGACATGCAGAGGGGTCATTGGACCCATATCGGGCCAGATGAATCCTATGACTAGAGTGTATTTTGGCCATACAAATACACAGTAGTGCACTATTTCCTCCCTTTCCAGTCCCCTACCCTGGGGAAGATTATCCCAGAACCTAACATTCTCCCCAGTGGAGTCCAATCTGGGATGCCAGGAACTTTCCCTCGTTCCTTGCCTTCAGGGGCATTCCCCCCTTTTAGACCCTTTATTCCCCGTCACTCACCCTGAGTGTTCAGGTCTAGACCCAGCCGGCATTCCTGGTGCATCGCTCTGTGGTTGTTGTTGCTAGTCCTGAAGTCGTGTCCGATCCATCGCGACCCCATGGACAACACTCCTCCAGGCCTTCCTGTCCTCCACCATCTCCTGGAGTCCACCTTAGCTCACACCCACTGCCCCAGTGACCCCATCCAGCCCCCTCATCCTTTGCCGTCCCCTTCTCCTTTTGCCCTCAATTGTTCCCAGCATCAGGCTCTTCTCCAGGGAGTCCTTCCTTCTCATTTGGTGGCCAAAGTATTTGAGTTTCATCTTCAGTATGTGGCCTTCTCAAGAGCAGTCAGGGTTGATCTCCTCTAGGACTGACCGGTTTGATCGCCTTGCGGTCCGAGGGACTCGCAGAGTCTCCTCCAGCACCACAATCCAAAGGCCTCAATCCTTTGGCGCTCAGCCTTCCTTATGGTCCAGCTTTCACAGCCATACATCGCCACTGGGAAAACCAGAGCCTTGACTATATGCACTTTTGTCGGCAGGGTGATGTCTCTGCTTTTTAGTATGCTGTCTAGATAGCTTCCTCCCAAGGAGCAAGCATCTTTTAATTGCTTGGCTGCAGTTTCAGTCTGTGGTGATCTAGGAGCCCAGAAAAATAAAATCTGTCACTACCTCCATTTCTTCCCCATCTATTTGCCAGGAAGTGATGGGACCAGATGCCATGATCTTAGTCTTTTTAATGTTGAGTTTCAAGCCAACTTTTGCGCTCTCCTCCTTCACCCGCATCCAGAGGCTCCTGTGGTAGTCACTAGAAAAAAATGCCTTGGGTCTCCGATCATCCCCGTCTCAAACAGACAGCCTCCCTCTGGGCCCACCAAAATCAGTGGGGTGCGCACTCCCTCAGTTGTCTGCCAGACAAGTCGAAGATGGATCGGTCAATGGATCTCGGATGTGTCCCCGTGGCTGTTATGCAAAAAGCAGCAAAAATACTTCTCCTCAAGAAATAACCAAGCCTACCATCAGAGTGAGGCGCTTCCTTCGTTTATTGCAATAGACGGGGAGAGCCCGCTCTGTCAGAATCTCTCCGAAGCACAAACACACAAATCACCTCCTTTTGCACCCGAACTCGGCCGCCATAGCCGCCCCCCTCAATTCCCTCATCAGACAAGGTACTAAGGGGGTACAGGCTTTCCGTCCGCCTACTTCATATCTCTCATCTCATTCCTCTACATAGAGCGACATGCATCACATGTGCATTATAATTAGCCAGGGCTTTTTTTGTCATAGAACACACCGGAATGGCGTTCTGGCACCGTTTTTTGACGGATTTTTCCAAGTGATTGTGAATCACCCTGTTGGGCGTAGCAGATCGGCAGCAAAAATCATTAACATAGTGCCAGAGGCCTGCTTGTGTGTCAGCGCTGCTTGTCGGCGCTGATTGTGAGGGTGCTGCTTGGCTTGGGATCTGTCATGTGGTCGCGTGCTGAGTGCCGGCGGCAACCATTGTGTAAAAGTGTGACCCCAAGACATGAGTTCCGGCACTTTTTTTTTTTTAACAAAAAAAGCATTATAATTAGCCCATTGTCTATTCAAGGTGTGGCACCTTTTTTTTTTAACAAAAAAAGCATTATAATTAGCCCATTGTCTATTCGAGGTGAGATAATATCCATCATTCGAGGTGTGTGAGATAATATCCATCGACCTATTACGCCTGCATGTCCATAATACAAGTTCACTAGTTCACTCCTTTCTGGCTCCACCTAGCCCTGTGACCCCGTCCCATAAAACTACTGGGAATATGAGATAGAAGGTAACCTTCTTTCCTTAACCCAATTATCTCTTTCTCGCCTCCACATTCCGTCAGACAGGCTTCCTGGCTTGGTTGTTAGCCTCTCTGTTTCTCAGTCACTGAGTTACTTCCCTCAATGTCAAAAGGGTTTTGCGGCTCCCGGTGTTTTCTTTTGTGTGGGAAACGGGTCCAAATGGCTCTTTGAGTGTTATAGGTTGCCGACCCCTGGGCTAGAGTCTCAGTACTAGAATTCCTTCCACACCCCACCTAAATTTCCCTGGGAAAGCAGACCTGCAACTGCAAGTGTGCTTGGAGCTGTACAAATGTATTTCTATTCAGACATGCATAACATTGTCCGAGCATGAGCAATATGCCACTGGCCTTTGGAAAACAGAAAATTCCGTTGTTGGTCTGGGGCTTGGTCCATTGGCTGCCATGCAAGATTAAATTTGAAAGAATGGACAGATGTTGAAACTTAGGACCTGGCTTTCAACCATGTCAGGCCACTTGTCCCAATTACTGAATGCACCAGCTCCCACAGCCCCAAACCTTTGGAGGCTGCTCAGGGGGGTAATTGCTGACTGGCTTCTTCCCAGGAATTTGGAAAGAGGCCTTGACCCTTCCTGTTTTTGAGGGGCCCTTGAGCAAAACCCCAGCAGGACCCACAGGCAAGCTTTGTGCTGAAGAGGAACACTTCCAGGAGCTTATGCTATCAGGGTCTCTTGGCAGGCCCAGCCTCGAGGCGGGTCCTATTGCTGTGCCATGGGCCTAGTAGAAAGAGTAAGGTTCTAGACCTCAAGGTCCTGAATTTAAAGAGGACTACTGGCATCCACTTTCACACATAGGGGGACGAGTGGTTGCTCTAATTCAGCATTATTGAGCCATGGGGGTGGGGCTTTTCAGCTTCTCGGCTGGGAGTTTTTCGCAGCATTAATGACAGATTGGTCCTTTTGTGCGCAAACCACATGCCCTCCGTTGAACTGTTTGGCCGCACCACTCCTCGCTTTGCAAGGGCAGTGATCAAATCCTGGTACTTCCCCCCACGCGCACGCCAATCCCGTTGCGGTTTGCAGCTTCGCTTGACATGATGGCCACTGGGCCGCGGCGAAAGCGGACGCCACAGGGAGGCAGGCGGGCTGGCCACCTCCGCCTTCTCGCCTCGCCTCGCCTCCGTCCGGCGGGTCTCTCCCGCAGGCCCCTCTCCGGGCCGCCCTCCCTGCCCCGGGGCCGCCGCTCAGTGGAGCCTCCACGGACAGGGGCAGTCTCGCTGAGGAGCGCGGGGGGGAGCCCCCGCCCGCCTCCCCGCAGGGAACGCCCGGGGGCTGCTGCCGGGCGCGCGTCCCCGGGCACCCGCTGCCCGCCGCCCCCGCGCCCGCGCCCGCCCCCGGCTGCCCCGCCGCGCAGTGCCCGCTCCGGCCAGGCGGCGTCGCTGCAGAGCGGCCGGCGGCCTTCCGCGCTCGCTCGCTCGCTCGCGTCCTCCGAGCGCACGGCTGCGCGGCGCCCGGGATGGCCAGACTGCCGGCGAGCGAGCCCAGGCGGCCGGCGCAGCCCCAGCAGCCGCCCCGCGCCTCCCCGATGAGCGGCGGCGGCGGCGGCATGAAGGACTTGGACGCCATCAAGCTCTTCGTGGGCCAGATCCCGCGCAACCTGGAGGAGAAGGACCTGAAGCCGCTCTTCGAGCAGTTCGGCCAGATCTACGAGCTCACGGTGCTCAAGGACCGCTACACCGGCATGCACAAGGGTGAGGCGGCGGCCTGCCCGCGCGCTCCCCGCGCCGCTCTGCCCCCCCGCGCCCCCCCCCCCCCCCCCCCCCCCGCGGCGCGTCCGCTCTGCTGCATCTCCACCCAGCCGCCCGCGCCCCCACGCGGCTGCCCCCCAGGGTCTGGTTTCTGCACCCCCGCCGCCGCCCCGCCGCCCGCACCCCTTTCGGGGCGCCTTCCCCTCACTCCCGGCGGCGCCTCCGACCGGCTCTTACGCCCTTTCTGCACGTTTTCCCCCGGGCTCTTCAACCTGTCACCATATTCTCATTTCACCGGCATCCTCGCCCTCCATCCTCTCCAGAGCATCAACCACCCTCTTTATTATTCCGGCCCCCTTCGGCCACCTCCCGGGAACGCATCCTGAGAGTGGTACCCATCTCCTCCCAGGCCCCTTGGCCCAATTACTGCCTTCAGGAAGACTGCAAGCATGTGCGAACCTTCCCCTAGTCCACCCCACTGCTGTTGCAGGCTGAAAGATTCGGGGTACGGATACAGCCAGGTTCTCCCTTGTTGCTCCATCACTATCATATCCATGCGTTTACTTCCGCCAAACCACATTCTCTGTCTCTGTTCATCCCCCACCGCCCGTCACTTTCCCATCTCTCTCCTGTTTCCCAAACCTCCTTCATGCATCAATTTATTTTCCTAGCCGTCAGCCCTCTCCCACCCCTCCCTGCCGATCCGTTCTTTAATGCTTTTGACAGAAGGGCTTGAACTCCCCCTGTGTGCAATTGCATTTTAATATGTGCGCTTTTACAAGCTAAAAAAGGGGGCAACAATACGGCTTTTGGCCTGCTCTCCCCAGGGCTGAACGCAGTTGCTCCGAAGCGGCTGCCGGGCCAGGCGGTTCGTTTGCCAAGAGCCGTGGTGGTCCCGGGAGCCATGCCTGTGATGGTTCCATGGCACAGGCTGCGCACTGGCCCTCTCCGTGCACTGTGTGAGCATGTGTGCATAAAACATGTGAGTGGGGCGTGTGCTTGAAGAGATGCTCGTCAGGCAGGGGGAAGTGTCCGAAGATGCTTCCAGCAGTTCTTAAAATGCAGGTGGTGAACCTGGTAGGAGCCCTGAAAGGAGCGTGTGCTCGTGCCATGCTCGTGCGGCACTTTTGCACAGTTCCTGGCTCTCTCCTGGGGGGAATCGTGTGCATGAAGAAAAACGGGGAGGTGGTCTAGCTTTCTGGATCCCCTGTGAGAAAGGCTGGGTGGTCACCTGTCCAGAGCCTCTCCTAGAAGGGCCAGTGTGTACCTGGACTTGCCTGATACATGGACGTGTGTCCAATTTTGGCACCACATTGCAAGGGGGATGTTTGGACCAACTGGAATAGGCTCAGAGGAAGGCAACAGGGATGGTTAAAATGAGACCTGCGAAGATAAGTTGAGGGGCAGGGGAGGTTTAGCCTTGAAGGCACCAGGAGGGAAGAGGCAGAGACATCCTGGATTATTTCAAATCTTAGAAGGTTTTTTTCTAGCACTGTCATGGAGTCAAGAGGATTAGATCTGAAGGACTTAAATTTCAGTGTGTGTGTGTGGAGGTAGATTTCGGTAGGCCATTAGGAGAATGGTAAGAGCACTGGGGACAATGGAATATTTTGCTGTGGTGGGGGCTTGCCTTGTTGGGAGGTCTTCAAGCAGAGGCTGGACAGCTCTTAGTTTCCAGCATCTAGCAGAGGGTTGGACTAGATGGCCTTCAGGTGACCCATCTCCATTGCCATATGTCTGTGTGCTTTCACCACTAAGTTCTTGGGTCTTACAGTATTTTGTTCTCTTGCCAGCCCAGATTCAGTGCCTGAAGGCAGAACCCTGCAATCTGCTTGTTATTCACTGTTACTGAACAGAAGCTCTAGAGGTTTGAAGAGCAAAACAAGTTTCCTTCCTGGGTCTAATTCTTCTTTACTGTCCAGGCTCAAGACCTTCTGACTACCATTTGAGGACATACCCATACGAACAAATCTGAAAGCCATTGCGCTGAAAATGGAGTCCTGGAATTCAGGAGATTTGGGTTCTAGTCCGCACTTGACGATGGAGCCCACTGGGTTACTCTGGGCCAGTCACAGACTTTCAGTCCAGCCAACCTCACAGGGTTGTTGTTGCAGGGGGAGAGCAGGTGAGGGAGAATGATGTCAGCTGCTTTGAGTTCTTTATAAAAAGGTGGGATAAAAGGTGGGGATCTAATAAATATATCATTTAAAGGGACAGCCTTAAAATGTATAAAGAATGGAGGAAAAGGTGGTTTTAAAAGGTTTAGGTCACAGAATCCTAAGCCACAAATAAATGTATAAAATTTATGTTGACTTCTATCTATATGCAAATTTAGAAATAATGACTAGGATTTCTTAAAATTCTATGCAAGGTGAACCTAGTGAACCATCTCCTCATCCAAATAATTTCAGACTAAAGACATTCCTGAATTTGCAGCTGATCCTAAATCAGCAACGTGTCTTTTTAAATCAGCAACACGTCCTTTTAAGATGTGCGGTCTCTTGTGTTGTGTCCCTGCTTCTTTCCCCACATGCCTTCATCTCTTTCTTTCCATCCTGTTGCAAAATTGCCCCCATCCCATGAAATTAAATTTAAAAGAAACTCTTCCATTGGCATCCATGCCAATCTCTTCAGGGGGTTAGCGATGCTTCCGGTGGTGGTGGGATTTCTGTTGCCCCTCTTGTGGTCTTGCACAGATAGGCCTGACCATTACATTTTGCTTGCTGTTGTTGCTAGTCATGAAGTTGTGACCGACCCATCGTGACCCCATGAACAACACTCCTGCAGGCCTTCCTGTCCTCCACCATCCCCTGGAGTCCACCCCACCCCAGCCCACACCCACTGCCCCCTGTGACCCCATCCAGCCACCACATCCTCTGCCGTCCCCTTCTTCTTTTGCCATCTATTGTTCCCAGCATCAGGCTCTTCTCCAGGGAGTCCTTCCTTCTCATTAGGTGGCCAAAGTGTTCGAGCTTCAGCTTCAGGATCTGGCCTTCTAGAGAGCAGTCAGGGTTGATCTCCTCTAGGACTGACCGGTTTGATCGCCTTGCGGTCCAAGGGACTCGCAGAGTCTCCTCCAGCACCACAATTCAAAGGCCTCAATTTTTCATCACTTAGCCTCCCTTATGTCCAACTCTCACAGCCATATATTGTTGTTGTTAGTTGCAAAGTCATGCCTGGCCCATCGTGACCCCATGGACAACATTCCTCCAGGCTCTGCTTTTCTCCACCGTCCCCCGGAGCCCAGCTAAGCTCACGCCGCCTTCAGTGAACCCATCCAGCCCCCTCATCCTCTGCCGCCCCCTTCTTCTGCCTTCCATCATTCCCAGCATCAGGGTCTTCTCCAGGGAGTCCTTCCTTCTCATTAGGTGGCCAAGGCATTTGAGTTTCATCTACGGGATCTGGCCTTCTAAAGAGCAGTCAGGGTGGATCTCCTCTAGGACTGACCGGTTTGATTGCCTTGCGGTCCTAGGGACTCGCAGGAGTCTCCTCCAGCACCACAATCCAAAGATCTCAATTCTTCGGCGATCAGCCTTCCTTATGGTCCAGCTCTCACAGCCATACATTGCAACTGGTTTATTCAGAGCCAGTGTGGTGTTGTGGTTAAGAGCATGGGACTGGGACTCAGATGATCCGGGTTCGAGTCCCCACTCAGCCATGGAGCCAACTGGGGGACTCTGGGCCAGTCACAGACTCTCAGCCCAACCTACCTCACAGGGTTGTTGTTGTGGGGATAAGATGGAGGAGGAGAATGATGTAAGCTGCCTTGAGCCCTTTGTAGGAAAAAGGCAGGATATAAATCGAAATAATCAATCCATCAATCAATCAATATCCTGGTATTATTTGTGTGGAGAAGAGCTCTGTACAACAGGTTCTTGGGGCAGCACCAGCTGACCTTAAAATGGAACAACCCTATTGCAAAGGGTAGACTAAAGGGCTGAAGACATAATTGTATCACAAGTGAAATCTTAGGAGCTCCTGACCCTCAAGGGCAGCAGGATTTCCAGCTTTCCGAAATGAAGATCCGGCATCCTGGGTCCTGGGGCTCCAAAGGCTGAGCCCTGCCCCCTTTGCAGCCAGGCACCTCTCCAAGGCTTGCAGGAGGAAGGAGTCTGGGGTCTTTCCATGCACCATTTCCTACTGCTGCTCTATCCTCCTTTCTCACCACTCCGTGGTTCTTTATTTATCTTTAGATGATAGGAAAACTCTTTGTTTATTTATTGCCTAGCTGAGGCTCTCTGGGCAGTTCCCAAAAGTTAAAAATAAGCAAACATTCTGAAGACATGCAGATTAATTTAAAAGAATAAAACTGTTTGCAGTTACAATTCTGCATAGTAGCATGGCAGTGCTGCAGAATTACATGGAACATGTAGAAAACAAGGTGAAAAGTGCATTATCTAAACCCTGGGGACATAAAAAGATCTTTACCTGGTGTGGGAAAGAATTCGAAGTAGGCTCCAGGCACACCTCTTTGGGAGGCGCTTCTGCTAGCCCCCCTCCCATTTCCTTTGAAGGGGGGGGTGCTTCTGGAGAAGAGCTCCAGAATATGACCTCAGGGTCTCCGTAGGTACATTTGGGGTGGGTGGGGGGATAACCTGGCCCCAAGCTCCGAATGGTAACACTAGCCCTTGGAATCCAGGTGGGTCTTGCCAACAGCTAATAAGCCAGTCCTTGGCTGCCTTGTTTTGGATCAGCTGAAATTTGGGATGTTGCAAAGTGGGGGGCACTCAGCCCCGCAGTCCATGCATAGGATGGGTGAAGATCCCATGACTGGAGACTTACGTGCAGCGAAGGTGGGGATGGGGATAAGATGGCACCCCAAACCAGTTAAAACAGATGCTAACCCATTTAAAAATGCAATGCAAAGCCAATTGAATAAAGTTCCTTTTTTGAAAAATGAGTTAAAGCTGGTTAAGAAATAAAATGTGGGTTAAAAAAACCCTGTGAATAGCAGAGATTAAGGGTACCACCCTAGGAAAGTTTTAACAGAAGAAGGGATTTGC